ACTCACCACGTGTCGGATGTTGCCACACAAAGTGACGGAATATAGGGATTTGGTAGGTTTCCATTCTAAAGGCTTTTTAATAAATATGGCAACATTTTGTGACGTTCCATTGTTGCTGACGCGTAGTGAAGTGTTTAGAGAGTCATGTGAAGGCAACAGAACTTACGTAACACATACGTTTTTTTTTATAGTTTTTCATTTCTCGATGCATCCTTAATGTGTCAGAATATACCGCGTTTACCCTAGGCAGTCAACAACATAGACAAAAATTGTTATTTCAGACTTTCAGTAGGGATTGTCAGATATTTTCACTGAAGAAATATGGAAAATTCCATAGGAAGGAATGATAGGCATGAAATCAGCTAGGTAACTTCACAATAATTTTTGTTGAATTCCTGCCTGGAAAATTGGTAGAAGACTAGAAGCTATTTATGAATTGCACAAAAAAGCCTGTGAACCTTGTCAATTTTACCTGTTCCTATAGTGTAGCATTTCCTGATTTCTTCAGTGGAAAATTATAAAAAAAAATTATTTAATAATTATAGTCAGATCACTCAGATGGGGTAAGACAGGATCGCAGCCTTCATGGGGTAAGAAAGGACCAGTCTATGACGTGCATACTAATTGCACTGAATTCAATTTTATTTAAGAATCTGTTAGGGCACTTATTTCCTGTCATTTCTGTGTTTGTTTCAACAATGTACTGCAAATAATGAATTTTAGGCAATTAAAAAAAACCTATGTGGAGATAGGTCAGAAAATAGTTAACCTTATTTGGGAAATAAGCTATGTCTGATCACATGATTTTTTTTGCCAGGTTTGTGGATGTATGCAGGTAACCTCAAGTATGAAGTAACTTTTGAGCCATACCAGATATTCCTACCAGTTACCCCTATTGCCTGACGTGCATTCTAAAATGGGGTAAAAAAGGACCAGACATAGGGTAAGATAGGATCACCAAATGGTTCAGTTTTATCCCACAGTTGGTCCTTTCTCACCCCATGATCAGTCCTGTCTTACCCCCAAATGGTCATATCTTACCTCATAGATTAAAAATTTTCAACAGACATAAATAGGGAGTATTAGAATACAAATGCTGCTCAAACTAACTAATTTTTATGTTTATGTAGTAACTTTGTGAAAGCCAAAGCAGGGCTTATACATGCATGCAGTGTTACTCATCACCTTCCTTTTCACAGGAATAAAGAGCTATACATTTTAAACAAATGTTATAGTGGTTGGGAATAAAAGATAATCAGTTATGAGTCACAAGTACAAAAAATTCGCAAAACGTTACAATGAAGCTACAATGATGCAAGCATGCCAGGAGATGCAGACACAAGGCCTGCAGCAATTTATAATAATCTGTAAAGACTATTTTTTTATTAAAAAATGATAATAATTACTTAGCCATTCCATTATCTAATATGTTTCTAGATGCATAGTATTAAATATCAAGTTCTCAATTTGCTTAATAATCTAGAAATCTTGAAGTTAGAGGCTGGTCCTGTCTTACCCCAACCCGGTCCCATCTTACCCTAGTGGGGTAAGATGGGACCAGTCCACTTTTTTTGCTTTGTGCAAAAAAGGGTTCAATTTTCAAAAAATCTGAGTTGAGAGATAGAAGTCCATTGCACCAACATTCCATTTGGTAGGTTCAAGGTTTTTCAATTATTCATTGTATTGGTGCTACATGCTTGTTAGTGATTTTGGTCCTGTCTTACCCCATCTTACTATGACTGCAAAATGATCATCTTGACCTGCAATTTTGGGAAACTTTTGTGGTTTTGCCCAATAATCTAAATTGGGTCCAATTCACAGGTGGTTTCTGCCCAATTTTCCTGTTAGGCAATCAGAGCTTTCCTACCATTTTTGTACTGTAAGATTACTGCTAGTGCTAGATAAGTACTACTGATGATGGAGCTGGACTCTGAAATGTTTTAGTATCAATATGGCGAATTTGCTAGGCTTTTCTTTGCTTTTAAATTCCTTGTATTCCTGCTAGTTGAATTAACTCCTATCATAATTGTTAACAAAATTACACAAATATGTATGCTGCAAGATACTAAATATATAAAAAAAATTGTCACTTTGGAGCTGCAAGATTTCATTCATAAGTTGAGAAATTTTAATCTTGCCTGAGGTTTCTGCCAAATATCCCAGTTTTGGCTGCAATCAGGCGTAAACCCCCTAAAGGCTAAATCCACACTTAGGAAGATATAGGTTTTTGATCACACTCTTGACAGTTGACACTAGTGGCTGTAGTAATGCTTCATTTCCCATTCTCTATCTTCTTATTGCCTATTTGTCCTGTTCTAAGTTCTGCTTTCATTTACAATTTGAGGAATAAGTAGACTCATGAATTCAGTGTATTGCAACACTAAACTTTAAGTTATAGTTTAGAAAAGTAATTATTTTGATCAATTCTTTTTTGTTTACAGGTGCATTTCCCAGGCAACTGGGTTACCAAGAGCATAAGAAAATTCTATTCTCAACAAGAAGGTCTACTAGACAGGTTTGGTTGATATTCTATCATATATTAATAGGCTAAAAATTTTCCCATCAAAGAAGGTGTAAGGAAAAATGTTCTCTTTTTAAAACATCTCTTTTCATTTTAGATATTTAATGCAATTTTTTGATGAATAGGGTAACAAATTTTTGGTATTAATTTAAAGGGTTTACTAGCTCAAAAAGGGAAATTAGTGTATTTTTATGCTATTAATAATTAACAATATATCTTGACACAGAAAACCTTGGTGTGCCACCATGACTGCTTTAAAATTCTTAATGAAATATTTTGTGAACAGATTTGATGTGGTGGTTGTTGGTGGGGGCCATGCTGGCTGTGAGGCAAGCCATGCTGCCGCCAGAATGGGAGCAAAGACCTTGCTGGTCACTCATAACAAACAAACAATTGGTGAGATGCAGAGAAATGATCCAGGCAAAATGAATATTGAAGTAATTTACTTATCATGCATGTGTATACCTTCATACTATGAATAAAAAAATAATCAAAGGGCCAATTATGAGTTGATTTGAAAATTTCTTAATCTGGTTGCAGGAGGTTCAGTTCCTATAAATCTTGGTTTTCTGACAAATTATTTCAAAGTTTGTAAATCAGCTAAGCTAAGGATTGTCATTTGTTTTCAAATTATTTTAAATGATCATGAATTATTTTACCTCATGAGTGGAAATAATTTCACCTTTGCAAAATTGTTTTACTAATCAAAACTGATATTTGTTCTAGGTGCAATGTCTTGCAATCCTTCCTTTGGGGGCATTGGCAAGGGGCACCTGTTGCGTGAGATTGATGCCCTGGATGGTCTCTGTCCCCGCATCTGTGACAGGGCCGGGATTCACTTCAAGGTTTGACTCAGTGGAGAATGCTTCAATTTTTCTGGTAGATCCAAAAAAATAATCGTGTTTGTTGATAATTTTCTAGTGCAAATTCTAGAGTCACATAAACAAAAAGTTTAAACAAAAGTTAGTGCAAATTCTACGGTCACAAATTAAGCCCTGTACTATATAGCGAAGATAAAAAAGTTATAAGTGTTGTTGCAAAATTTATTGACAGAAGAATATCTTATGATGTCTTAGATCCTGAACAAGCGCAAGGGCCCAGCAGTGTGGGGGCTACGGGCTCAGATGGACCGCACTCTCTACCGCCGTCACCTCCAGCAGGAACTGTTTGCCCTGCCTGGCCTAACTGTGCGTGAAGGCGCTGTTGATGATCTTCTGCTGCATGAAGGCGATTCTAGTTTGCGTGAGTCTCATCTTCTGTTTGCGTGAGTCTCATCATCTGTTTGCGTGAGAAAAAACATTTTAAAACTTTTTGTGCACTTTCATTTTGATGTATGCGGTTACTCCCTACATTATTTACAGGCCTTAATCTACGGACATCATTCCTACTAATTACTTGTCCTCCATCTCCTCTGACTGTCCTTGAGCAGCCGGTGTTGTCTTGGCAGCTATATATTATACAAACTTATATATTTCAAATGAAACCAATGCATCAATAGGCTGTAATGCTTGTTTTGTGATTGAATGAATCACACAAATTCATATCTAAATAATCTAATTTCATCCTAAATTTCAGGTGGTACCCGTTGCTCAACAGAGTTGGATCATCAGGGACAGCAACATGCATGCCAGACAACTGCTCCACCAATAATCAAATGGCAATAAGTGTGTGGTCAAGTTGAGAGCAAAGATGCTTCGACAACTCCTTTCCATGATGGGTGTGGGTGGCCTACTGCCCAGCACACTACCACCAACTGTTACTTTCCTCATAAAACTTGCCTGGGAGTCTAAAGTGCGCCTACCTGTATTGATTGCTGTTGCATTTATGCTTACTGATTATCACTTGCAGCTGGAGATAAATGTTGATGTACACTTTAGGGAAGAAGAGCAAGTTGAGAACAATGCTCAAAATGCTATACCTGATAACAATGAAGATGTTGCTGATGTGGAGATTTTTCTTGAGGGAATAATTGCTGAAGAAGTTATTGAAGAAGAAGAAGATGATGAGATTGATGATAGTTCTGAAAATGATGAACTTGTTGAAATTCTGCTTTCAAGACTTGACTCTAGAATAGATAGGCTTTCTGATCTTGTTGATGCTGTAGAGGAAGATTGAATAGTTTTCTATGATCAGTTATCATAATTTTGTCATTTATATGAGAATTTGAAGCTATTACTGTACAGATATCGAGATTGTGCTTTGTGACAAGTTGACTTTTCCTTCTTAAGATGATGCCAGCAAGCATTGACAATATCTTGCTGCAAACAGTTTGTTAGAACTACCTGTAATTTCTGCATGGAAGCAACTGGAGAAAAGTACTTTTAATGCGGATGAACGCCTCAAAGACTAGATAGATCAGGAATCCTTGACATAATCTTTGATTTCATTTCTAATGAAATTAATACATCGTGCTAGTATGTATTTAGTACCGTAGCTATGTTTATTTGAAAAAAATATTCTTTTTAATTTCACAACGATGATGCATGTTGTCCATGTAGCCATCATTACACGTTTTCATGTTAATTTATTACAAGTTTTCTTTTTCAGCTGCTTCTAGGTATATCAAGCAGCAACCTTCTTTATAACAAGAACAGTGTTATCATATTTTATTTGTAATATTATTTCTTATGCGGTTGCAGTTTAATTTTCAAATAATGTTAGAATGGTAAAACATCATTGTCAGTTATAGAAATAAGAGTGTAACTCACAATAATGGATATTAAAATTTGTGTTATCATCTTAAGTTAAGAAAACTAAATGCACCCTTTTTAACTTATTTTGTTACCATTTTACCATTTGACTTTCTGATCACCTTCTACAGGCCCAGATTATTCTTTAAGCAAAAGTGTTGGCGTACCAAAGAACCTTCTTAACAGGTATCTGCCATGTGGATTCATTAGGACAGTTTAACCATTTATTCACTTATGTGCAGGCCATGTTAACTGAGCCAAGTCATAATGTTTTTTTTTTATGTTATTTTTGTCTTATATTTTTATTTCATCATGGTATTTATGGTATTTATTTATCTTTCGATCCAAAGCAGTCCTGCACTTACGTTGACAGTGAATTTTTTAATAAGCAATCTCATAGGTTCTATTATTACAATAAAATTAGTTGATATAATGATAAAACATAAAAGATATTACTTTTTTTAATTTCAATACTTACGTTAAATACCTACCACATAGTTGGAAACCTGTACACAAAAATACAAAGCTAATGATTAAATAGTCTTTTGAATTATACCAGTAGACATATGTTCTTGTTGGATTGCTTTAAAAAAATTAATATTAAGGTTTAGTATTTGTCAGACTTCATATGTACAATTGTATCATACCTGTACCTGGTACGATTGTAACGTGATAAAATAAGTTTAGGTTTTAAGAAGCATAAAGTTGGTAGACGCACTATTTTAATCCAGACCGATGGAGATGCTTTAATCCAGACTAATTTTAGATGTTGCATTGCTATAGATCTTGATGATCCCCGAGTCCTAGTCATGCCAGTACGCCGGCGCGGTGCAGGAAGAAGACCGACCAGGATCCTGAGTGCTGCCAGCTTCGGGCATTCAAGCAGTATATTTGACGTTGTGAGGCGTTTTTTGACATTGGGGGCATAGGTCTAAGTGAGTGCAGTCTAGGCGGTGTTCTGCAGTCTAGACTGCTGTTCTGTGTGGCTAATTTTTGGTGGTATGGTATCTAATATATTGTTGATTGGTGGATTTGAAAGTGCATTCCGGGTTAGATGTTTGTGTACATGTTTATTGAATTTGGCTGAGTCAGTTGGCGGGGGTATGGAGTAAATATTGTGAATTAGTTGTTATATGGAGCGTTAGCTATTTGTCTGGGTGTAGGTGCTGAATGTGATGGCTGGGGCTGAGGGGGTTGTAGAGAACTGATGAAAGGAATTGGGCGCCTTTGATGCCTAGGTGTGGTTTCAGTAGGAGAACTGCGTAAACGTGACAGCATAGTGTGGTTTGGGTGTTGCTCTTGCACTGAAATTCAATCCAGATTGTTTAACCTGATGTCAGCCTTATTTCCTGCTGCTAATCATCAGACCAGAAAGTTTTTTGCAATATGTTTGTGATAAATTTAATAGATGTCGCGTGGATAAGTTGCACCGCAGTTTTTTTTAGTTTATAGCTGTGGCCCCTGGTGTTTGTTCTTGTTTCAAATTGAAAATTCTAGTAATCCTGGGACCTTTTACAAACCATGAGTATACTTGTATACTTCATAATACATGTTACATATTACATTATACATATTACATAATAATATACACAGTGAAGGATGCGTTAAATAAAGCGCAATTGCAAAGATGATCTTGACAGTTTAATATCTGGGCTGATACGTGGCAGCTGCGGTTTAATGCTGACAAGTGTAAAGTACCTCACCTCGGGAAGAACAATGAACAGCAAGATTACAGTATGAGATGACATGGTTGCAACGAGGGAATAATGATTGAAAAGTATAGTGTGGAAAAAGATCTCGGAGTTTATGTCGACAAGGAGCGGAAATTTTCTAAGCATGTTGAAACGCAAGCTAACACATCCAACAAACTTCTTGGACTAATCAGACGCTCTTACGAGTTCCTAGATGCAGAAGCCATGAAGCAGTTGTTTACTGCTATCGTGCGCCCGAATCGTTTGGAAACGTTGCGTGGTCGCTGAGATTGGAAAAGGACACAAATTTAATAAAGAATGTTCTAAGACGTGCAACAAGGATAATTCCTAGCCTGAAGAGCAAGTCATATGAAGAAAGATTAAAGATTATGAAGCGTCGGCTATCGACGTCTGCGTGGGAACCTCGTTGAAGTATACAAGTGTACTCATGGTTCATACAAGGTCCCCGAAGGATTACTAGAATTTGAAAGAAGAACCAACACCAGGGGCCACGGCTATAAACTGAAAAAACTGCGCTGCAACATATCCACGCGACAACATTTCTTCTCACTTCGAATCACCGACATTTGGAACAGCTTCCCCGATTACATCGTTGGTGCTCCGAGTATGAACGCGGCGTTCATGAGCAGACCATATAAAGCAAAGGAAAATATATGTTCAGACTTTAAATGCCTAGCACCACATCGAACCCGGTGGAAGTCAAGTGGCTATTGCAAATTATCGTCAGTCCTGAAGAGCTCCGGCCAAATGACACGATTGTAGGTCTTCTGTGAACAAGTCACGAAAGGTAAAAGAATCGGCGACAGGCCTCATCAGGCCTACGCTTCAGCGCCGACATCACTATATTATGTTATTAATGAATTACACAATCATTCATTATCGCCAAACAATTCCCCAGTATCAACAATGAATATGATACTTGTTGTTACTTTGAATATGTGGACGGATTTTTTTATAAAAACTCTCATTTTTTTTCTTTGGTTAGACTGAGTAAACTAAGTCGTGGGAAGTGGGCTATTTCTCGATCGATAAAAACATTTATTTAGTTGAGTAAAAGTGGTAGTTGCGTACTAATAAATTTAGGTTAAAAAAAACTAATCGCGTGTAAAAAATGAATATTAGGGTTGTTTCTAATGGAGTTACTAGCATCCTCAATAAAAAATTTTGAAGAGCAAATGTACACTTCAAAATCAGTTCAGAGTTTCAAAAATAATCAAACGTAATAGTGTCTTCATTGCTAAGTTACAAGCGTATGGTGAACTAAAGAATTAATTTTTATGACGAAATGTTAGTTAAGATGGATAATTTTTTATAACTCGAGTGGAAAAATTCCGGTAAAGAGGATTTCCGATCTGCAGTCGGTAGTCGAACTCACTGTCGAAGATTTCTCGCGTTACGAAATTTTCCCGGTGAAGTTGGGCCTGTGTCTGTAGCTGTAGTTAGATACTACTAGTATCGAACTTGAAGCAAATCTTTGTTTAATAATCGACCAGCGAAAAAAAAATTAATTTCTATTCATAATTTTCTATTGCATGCAAAAACTTGACACCAAGTATATTCGTCATCAAAATTACCTACTAGTTGAAATTGAAAATATTATTTTATTTGTTTATGATGGTCAAACTGGCAGGTGTCAGCCTGGCTCTGGGAAACCTGTAATTTATTGGGACAATGAGGAAACCTGTACTAAAATTAATTGATCAGGTGAGACTGATACTGAAAGGCTGGACTAAGCTGACCTAGCTTTAGGTTTAGGGGCTTAAAGTTTCAAGGTATCCTTGCTTTAAATTTTAGTCAGCTAAATCAAATCCATGTTGATCATAAAAATGATTTTTCTCAA